AATGCTGTTGGCCGTAGCTGGCCTTTACAGCTTCACCGGACATTAGGGGCGAGTGCAGATGGCACTCCAAACCCGCGGAAGGACATATGGAGCGGCTGAAGGCCAACTCCTGCCCGACGGATACGACTTTAGTCTGAGGGCACCACTAGGGGCTCGAACCTCGGCTCAGGCCGTCGTAATTTCGATCCCCGTTTGAATTGGACGGGGGATCGATCGGAGGGGAGTTATATTGTCTAAAGTTAATATTGATCTTTATATTACGATGTATATGCCGCTGACTACTATTGTTGTCCTAATAACTGTAGGTATTCTGGCGTCATACTCGAGGTCGTTTCATACAGGTTTGTAATAATTATCAATAAGGTACTGGTTTTGTTACATTTATACCGAGTTTTTAACTCGTTTTTTATTCGATTATAAAAATATGCTGGTTTTTAATCAGGTGGTAATTTTTATACATACGAGTTTGTTGAACGATATCCTCTATCGTTTCTCGAGTGCTGATGATTCTTTTTGTAATTGGTACTATAGTTTACTTATTTATATCTGTTATAAATCTGCCAGAAAAAATTTTTAATGTCAAATACAACAGTTCCTTTGCAAAAAAGCTTACTATAAAATTGAAGAATTCGTTAACGATGTTTTTATAGAAAAACTTTAAATCCATAGCACTGACAATATTATCTGATTACACTAATAATGAGTGCGTAGCGATTTCTATGTTGATTATCGCATGCCTCTTACTTGTTATACTGTAATTATTTATATAAAAAAAACATCTATTAAAAAGAGCAACACACAAGTTTCTTGCTCATTATTCTTGTGATGAATCTGCATTCCGAGAGTGGTAGAATCAAAATAAGACTATTCAAAAGTGCTTATAATAAGTTTATTTGAATAAAGATTATTTCTATTTCTATTTCTACTTGTACAATAATTTTGCAACTTAAATTTGGTTATTGATTTTATTGAAAATATTGCGTGTAGCTGCAAGTTTCTTGCTCGTTCTTCTTGTAATGAGTCTGCGTTCCGAATGAATGGCAGAATAAAAATATATGACAATATAAAAGTATACATTCTCGGTTTTACTAATTAAAATTTAAAATTTAAATTTAATTTTAAATTTTAAATGTATATTTCAGTCAGACACGCCGTTGCTTTTATAATATTAGTATATTAATAAATCTGGACAATTTACACAACCATCTAGTCTCAAGCTAAGCAGAGATTGTAATATAGGTATTAGACAACTGATATAAACACTTAGATATTTTTAACAAAATATACATACAAAACTCCCAGATCGATACAAACAACCATACTCATGAATTCACACAGCGCCATCTAGACCCAAGTTAAGCTAGCTATACTTGTATTATGAGTAGGATAACTGATACAAATACATAGATATACATTATTTTCGTAACATGCTTACAAATTACACATACAAACAACCATACTCATAAATACACAAATTTGTACCGTGCGAGGAGTCGAACCCGCGACCGTCGGAAGTAAAGTGTGCTAAACCGCTAAACCACCGGTGCAGTTATATCATAGAATGTATTTACTCTAAATGTTTCCAGTATAGAGCAACCTTGATAGATTACGATGTACTCGTAACTGATAGAATAATGAAATAAATGCATCCTGTTATATTTTAGTCGCTTAGTACATCACCTGTTAGTCTAATCTTAGACCTAGAATAGACCTTGTATTTTATTTACTAGAGATAGACTGTAATATGACTCATGCGTCCTGTTATATTTTAGTCGACAGAGATGCAATATCTCGCCAAGCCAATGGATCCGCTCTGTCACATAGACGTTGATTATCAATGATTCTGGCTGCTCGGTTCTGAAAATGTTTGTACCGTGCGAGGAATGGAACCCAGGGCCATTGTGCTACTTCCAATGGCTCTGGGTCCATTGGGTGTGCTAAACCGCTAGTCAAAGATTTAAATTATAACAAAGTCATCGCCACTGTCTGTTCGCTTATACCTTTTAAATTACGCAACAGATTTTAATGAGGTTTTCAGCAATAGATAGAGTGATTCAAGACGAAGGTTTATATGTATAATGCTTGTTATATGTAGTATAGAATAAGCCGATAAATTTAAAGATTTGTAATGCCTATCTGAAGCTGGGACGGATCGGTTGTTATATGTGAGGATCCTCAGTGATCCAAAGTTCAAGTGTTTAACTTAATCATAATAAGATAAACACTCTCGTCGCAAAGTACATACAATTAAACTATTAATGATAAAAGATCGCAAGTCGGTTTTATTTGTATATTCATTATATCACATCGTAAACTACACACTTCTTATCGCTAATTAAATAACTTAGTTAACTAAAAATACATTGATAAAGTTGTATAAACAAATTTAAATTCACTGTCGTTGTTATTGCAAAAACTTCTGTTTTTTACACCCATTACATGATATCATCATTATCATCATCATCATCACCATCAGTAGCGGTTACAATATCGCATGCAATTAATTATTAAAAATAACATTTATTCAACAGAGCAACACGATAGTTTCTTGCTCATTCTTCTTATGATGAGTCTGCGTTCCGAATGTGTGGTAGAATAAAAAATATATGACTATTGAAGTGCTTGTATTGAATTTTTTTTAATGAAGATTATATCTATTCTATTTCATCATCCTTCAGCCACTTAATAACTCCTTCCGCTGAGAGTGCTCTCTATATTATTATGTCACATAAATTTGTCAAAATTCACATTCTTTCATTCTCAAATATCTATTGCGGTTACCAGCAGTCAAATTTAGAGGAATGGTGGCCACTTTCAATTCACGCACCCATCACATCACTTCACCTTCTCTATTGCTTTCTTTTCGCTTGGTATTTCCTTCTTCTTGTATCTCATCTTTTAAATTTTATAGCAAAATGTTTAATAGCCTATAATATTTCTCACAGTTTTAGTCATTCAATAATTAATGCGTGTAAACAAACAATCCTTTCAACTTTATATGTTAGTACAGATGTATTATATACTTATTTAATCATAGTTATGTCATTTTTATCATTTGCTATATAAAATGTTTTTATATTGTTACAACTCAATCAGATATTGTTTAATTCTCATTTAACTCTTCTTCATTCTAACAATCCTGATTTTTTTTCTTTTCTTCATTCTTTCTTTCTTTTATATCAGCTGTATAATGGCTACTGTAGCCTATGGGCACTTGATACACCGGTGGTATCATGTGAACATTACAGACCAATATAAATACTTTTATGTTTAAATAAGATAAAAATCATAATAATAAGTCTAACAATAGCTGTCTTATAATATATAGCTATATATATTAGTCCATAATGCTTACATGATACCACCGGTGTATCAGGTGCCCATAGGTTACAGTAGTCACTTACCATTGGTATGTGACTACTGTAGTATGTATGGTAAGTTACCATCAGCTGGCTACCGCTGTAGTGTAAAAAACTGTATTAAACTGAGAGTAATATTAATAAAGTTCCATATCATTTGAATAGTTACTATAGTACTAATTTATACAAAGTCCAAAATTCGTTATCTTATCACTATTATGTATACTTTATTACAAATTAATGAGTTTATTACGGTTATTATTTTTTACAATTTTAGGTATGGACTGTGGACATATTTACATAATATGATTCTTCTTATGCAAACATATACTCATAAATTGTTGATAATCCTTCTTAAACATAATGACTATCTTATTTGTGTAGAGATTTAATTGCTTTATCTTCCAATGGTTGTTACAATTCTCCGACAGTTGCAGTTTAACAATCTAAATATATATAACTCAAAGGTGACTGCCTGACATAGTGATCTATCAACGCACAGCCCAAAGCACTGGACGGATCGGGCTGAAATTTGGCATGCAGGTAGATGTTATAATGTAGGCATCCGCTAAGAAAGGATTTTGATTAATTCTACCCCCAAGGGGATAAAATAGGGGATGAAAGTTTGTATGAAACTTTGTCAATTTTAAACCGATCGGGCTGTGAGACTTTGCATGCATAAAGCTACTGTGACGTAGGCAACCCCTAAGAAAGGATTTTGATAAATTCTATATACCCCTAAGGGATCCGATATATTAACGCGAGTTTATTAATTTACTAATGTAGATATTTTATATTCGCAATGCTCCATACATGCAAGCTCCAGCAACGAAGCCGCGGGCAAAAGCTAGTCACTTATAAGTATTGCAAATTATTTTAATAGTCTTGATAGATTTTATATCAATTTTTGATTCTTATTCTAATTTCTAACACGTATAGAAGGCACAATAGTTGATTCAATGATATATCATAATTATTATCATAATAATTAATGAGACAATAACCATTCTAAATACATCTTATAATTCTTGCCCTCCTTAGAAATTATAGGAAATTAAATGACTATCAAACAATAGATCAGCAACGAATAAAAACAATAGATTAGCTTCAATTACTGTATAGTTTAGTGCCTACTCGTAATGACTCTTTACCATGATTATGTTATTTATCAGTTATCGATATTTCGATGCCGTCACAACTCGATGCTGACCTTTTTTCACGGTTGCTTTCAATTGTATATATTACATAAACGGAAATTATACCGTGATTATGTTATTTATCAGTTCCCGATATTTCGATGCCGTCACAACTTAATGATGTCAGTTGACTCGTGACCTGGGGTTTTACGGAACCATTCTTAATTGAAACAAATTAAAATCATTTGCGATATTCGAGGAATCATTTGAAAATTGAAAAAGCAAGTTACGTTGTATGGATAATATTAGTAATGGGAAACAGTCCCTACATAAAATCGTTTGTTTCTTCTCTTTTCTTTTGTTAAGTCTCTGAAAACCTCTGGAAACTTACTATTGAATTGTAAGCTGTTGGTTTTCTAATAAATAAGTGCTAAATTGTATATTTTAATTAATTTCAGAACGACGGTAATAATTATCAATAAAATTCTTATACAATTAAGTCACAGAATACTTATAACAGTATCGAAATATCGGTAGCTCATAATAATTCGATAGAAAAAGACAACCAATAACAATTGTACTGTTTAAGAGTAAAATGTTTATCATATCCCTTTCCTCTCCTTGAAATGTAGCGGCAGACCGTCTTTCACGCTCTGCACGATGCCGGATCTGGGATTGACAGCAGGGTACCGTTTTGTTTCTGGTGCCGGTTCCACAGTAAAACGGGACAAAATGGCTGCTAATCCGGCCAAAGACTGCATTAGACCAAGCCGCTCACCTGCAAAAATTTACATGAAAATGTATTTATTTAAAATCGCAATCGTCTTACAGTTATATATATATAAAATATGGATAGATTGTGTGAAAGATGATATGAATAAAAGAAGAGTATGTCTAGATATGACGACCGATAGAGAGCAGTGGAAGAGAATGACATACTACGCCGACCCCAAATAATGGGATAAAGGCAAGGCAATGATGATGATGATATAGTTATATCTTAGTGTTTTATAGATCTTTCTAATATTATAAACGCGGAAGTTTGTGAGTATGGATGGATGTTTGTTACTCTTTCACGCAAAAACTACTGAACGGATTTTGACGAAACTTTACTAATAATATAGCTTATACATCAGAAATATAGTAATACAGGTGAGGAAGTGTGATCCAGATGAATTTGCGTAGGCCAGCTATCTATACATATAAATGAAATTGGACTGTATGTTTGTAATATTGAAATAACCGTTTTTACTACATGCATATGAATATAAATACGGTACATACACCAAAATAACATTTTTTACAATTTTTGTCTGTCTGTCTGTTTGTTCCGGCTAATCTCTGAAACGGCTGGACCGATTTTGACGGGACTCTTATTGGCAGGTAGGTAATGCAATAAGGAGTATCATAGGCTACTTTTATTTTAGAAAAATAAAATTAAATTCCACGCGGACGAAGTCGCGAGAACAGCTAGTTTAATATAAAATTTACAATATTCGTAATAAAACTGTTCAACGACTATGGAAATTGGGACATTGCGGCGTCGTTCATTCAGAATGTTTATTTTTCGGTACTTTTCGATAGCGTTGCATACTGCATATGTAAAAACTTAACAAGCTTGTACTCTCGGTATTTGTAATTAAACATAAATAATAATCTCAGGACAATTCACACAGCGCCACCCAGATCCAAGTTAAGCTAGCTAAAGCTTGTGTTATGGGTACTAGACAACTGATACAAATACATAGATGTTTTTTTCGTAAATACATACATATTATGCATAGAAAACACCCAGACCAACACAAACAATCATACTCACGAATACAAATGTTTGTGCCGTGCGAGGAATCGAACCCGCGACCATCGGACGTAAAGCGGTGTGCTAAACCACTAGACCACCGAGGTTGTCGGTTGTTACATACTATATAATAACACTAGCTGCCCCCGCGACTTCGTCCTCGTGGAATTTAACTTTTGTTTTTGTTATATAGGTCTTACTAATATTATAAATGCGAAAGTAACTCTGTTTGTCTCGCTTTCACGTCAAAACTACTGAACCGATTTAAATCAAATTTATATATTTATATATTTCTTAAAAGATCACAATCTCACGGCACAAACATTTGTATTCATGAGTATGATTGTTTGTATCAGTGTGGGTGTTTTCTATGTATAATATGTATGTACATATTTACAAAAAATATATATTTATGTACATGTAACAGTTATTTATATCTAGTACTCCTAACACAAGCTTTAGCTAGCTTAACTTGGGTCTAGATGACGCTGTGTGAATTGTCCTCAGATTATTATTATTATTATTATTATATATAACAGTTTTCTAAAATAATAGTAGCGTAAATAATACTAGTAATAGGTACATCGACTTAAAATTAACAACTGAGCTTCACGAATGGAAAAAAAAATTGTAACTAGTTTTGTTACAGGCATTGTTTGCATTTTTGCACCCGTGTGAATTTCTTGAGTGGTAAACGATGGAGATACGGTCGACGTTTGATATGAAATTTTGATCTCGATCGGTCGAGCCGTTTCGGAGTAGTATCGTTACAAAGAGTGCAAATCTGATGTCTAAGATCGGTGTGTTATTTTCCGCTTAATAATTAAAATTGCAGCGGAAACAATGTTACAAGTAGGTGCAACAATTGTAAGTCTAGAATAAATTGTTTACAATGTAATCTATTGAGAGGAGTTGATTAGTAATTAATGTGATGTATATACGTTGTACATAGTATATACGTCATATATACATATAAATAAAATTGTAGTGTCTGTTGGTTTTGTCTGCGTGTGTGTGGAATTTAACATTATTTTTCTAAAACAAAAGTAGCCTAACTTACTCCTTATTGCATCAGCTATCTGCCAATAAAAGTCCCGTCAAAATCGGTCCAGCCATTTCAGAGATTAGACGGAACAAAGAGACAGACAAAAATTGGAAAAAATGTGTTTTTGGTGTATGTACCGTATTTACATTCATATGGTAAAAAACGGTTATTTCAACATTACAAACAGACACTCCAATTTTATTTATGTGTAATAAATAAATAGATAAATATATTTATGATTGTTCTAAACAATTGAGGATTTCTTAGGTATATATACTTTTTCACGTTATAAGTATGTAATTTGACTTAAAAAAAACAAATTGAGCTGCAGCTGAGTTTCCGGTCAGTTGTTTCATTCTGTAGTCTACATTTATTAGTGTAGCAAAAAATATACCTAAACTACATGCATATGTGACTTAAATTTTGTATATAAATATATAATTGTCGGCTCTGAATTTGAGATAACAATTTCTTAGTAAACGTTTGTTTTAGTGACTCAACGATAATTCAATGAAATTTGGTGACAATAGTCAATAGTAATAAAGTATTGACTAAGTTTTGACTCAACTATGTACGCGTCTAAGCCGATTGTATTTAAAATTTTGGTTAACAATTTGTACAATACAATTGCAGATACAAAAAAAATACACATACAAAAAAATGTATCAAAAATTTATTCACTTCTGACCATTAACAGACTGAAGGATTATTCTAGCGTCATCTGTTCTATACTAGCTGTGTCCGTAGTTATATCTGCTTGACATTTATAGCCTATACGTTATTCTGATGTATAAGCTAAATTAGTGTGAAATTTCACCCAAATATGTTCAGTAGTTTTTGCGCGAAAGAGTAACAAACATCCGTCCATAGTTACAAATATTCGCGTGTATAGTATTCATAAGATGTATACGTTTGAATAATATTTCCGGCTGCTATATATGTTAGTGGATGCTAATGATATGGTGTCCCGTCTTCGCTAGCGGGGTATCAGTTAAGGATGATTATATAAGTATAACGTAAGGTCAGTTAGGCTATCGTGAAAGATTCAGCAGAAATTAACCACGATGGTTTCCAGGGGGAATCGCGTGGAGGTCGACCTGATATGATATAATATCCCTGGATAATTCACACAGCGCCATCTGGTCCCAAGCTAAGCAGAGTTTGTGTTATGATTACTAAACAACTCATATATATACATAGATACTTTTTTTTCGTAAATACATATATAATGTACATAGAAAATACTCAGACAATTATACACATGAATACAAATGTTGGACCTTGCGAGGAATCGAACCCGCGACCATCGGTATTGAAGCGGTGTGCTAAACCGCTAGACCATCGAGGTCGTCAAATATAGTGTATTGTTAGGTAATAGGGTTATTATTACACACCTTATTACTGACCATCCTCTTGCCCCCTATGTATATATATTATGTTATAGGTACCTGTGAGAAATTCATAAAAAATAGAGCTTACCTATGCACGCTCGTGGTCCTATACCAAATGGCAAATAAATATATTTATTAGCATCATTCAATTCCTCTGGACTGAATCTTTCCGGTCGAAACTTCTCAGGTTCCTCGAAGTACTGGGGATCATTTTGCAAAGCTTGAATTGGGATAAACACTCTGACACCAGCATCCACTGATATATTTAATTCCGGAATTGGGGTCGTTCGAACACATTCTCTCATTAAAAATCCAAGTGACGGGAATATTCTCATCCCTTCTTTAAATGTCCAATCCAAATACGTCATTTCTTTAACAGCGTCGTAGCTGAGTTTGTTATCATATTTACTTAGTACTCTATCAATGTCTTCTTGAACTTTCTTCTGCACTTCAGGATTGTAGGCCAGCATGTGCAGTGTGAAACTGGTCGCAGACGATGATGTTTCAAATCCAGCAGCAAAAAATACGAAAATCTGAGCGGCCATAAGTGCATCGTCTAACTCTAAAGTCGCTGTTTCAGGACTACCGTCTGGTTTCTTGCGTTCTATAGATTCACCAACAATCAAACCCTTTTTTTTACATTCAAGCAATAAATCAACAAAATCGTTCCTGCCCGCAGGTTCGTAGTTTCTCTGATGTAAAATCTCTTTAGTCAACGTGAGTATGTCGGATTCAATACGCTGAAATATTTTGAAATGTTTGCCAACACTGGGCACGACTAAGTTTAATATTGCAACTAAGATGTCTCTGATAGTGGGTTTGAATATTTTAGCACCAAGTTTCCTAAATTCAGAATCGTCCTGGTTAAGAGAGTCAGCGTCGAGTCCGAAGCCACAAGCTCCGATGAAGTCAGTGGTGTATCGAGCCATCAGCTCACGAGCGTCAATCGTATTTCCCGCTGCAGCAGCAGACAGAGCACAGGCCTGCAGCTTCTCAGCTCTTTCCACAATCAGCGGGAACATGGCTTTTAGTTTGCCACTAGTAAACGCCGGCGTCATCCGCTGCCTCAAAAGCCTCCATAGATCTCCATCCGCAAAGAACAAGTTCCGCATAATAGGCTCAATATTATCCTTATGAATATTCAGTCCACGCGGGTAATAATTGAGGAAATCAGTTGTAAGAATACGCTTGATAATTTCAGGATCTCTGACCACTAACTCCGGCCGTCCAGCTCTGTAGAAACCAGCTGCTTTCTCATTCGGATATTTCCAATACGTTTCAGCGGCTAATTCAGTTACGCTTTTCTTCGACGCGAAATTTCTGAAGTTGTTCCCGAATATCGGTACGGGTTTGTCATGTTTTATGCCTTTGCTTTCCCAATATTTGTAAGAGTTTTTGTTGTAATAGTAAAACAGCGCGAGAATGACTAACAAGATGGCTAGGACAATCATTGTGGCGTGCGCGGCTGACGCGGTTACACGGCGACTATAGTCAGCGGTTTGTAGCGCCGGTTATATACATGTTCATGACATATTCATTATCTTGATTCCGGTCCCAATACTAAACGATGATGTAGCAAATATTTTACATTGTGTAATGTTTATGTCTGATTTGTAGCAATCAGCATAGTATCAATGTATAATATTATGTAACATAATAAATTTGTATTATCAAAGGGTAAATAATAATAGTAATAACAACCCTGAACTATTCACATACTCCCAAGTTAAGCAGAGCTTGTGTTATGAATGTCTAGTGTCCATAACTGGTATAAATATTGAAATATTTTTTCTTGTATTTAAAAATGAACATAGTATGATTTTTAATTTAATATTAGTATTAAGAGAATTACTGATTTTTAATTTTTCAGTAATATGTTTTAGATAGTGCCTTCATACCCTCATATATACGATGTATTTTTAAAAATTTAGGAAGATCGACTATCACATTTTTATTTTTATTATTACATATTTAGGTTGAATGACCCGTCTCATCTTTATATATAAAAATTACGTGTAACATTGTTTGTCAGCGATGGACTCCTAAACTACTGAACCGATTGCAAATTTGATTTGCACAATGTGTGCAATCTGATCCAACTTGAAAGATAGCTTACAACTCGATTTATAGTCGCAATATTATTTTATTTAAGAACCTTAGCCAAGCAACATGTGGTCAGGTCTGCTAGTATATAGAATGTTATTCAATTTTTGTTTTTCAGATAACTAAATTCAATTTAGTTATCTTAAAAGAATGTCGTTGTGGCCACCAGTTCCACCCGCAATCTGCTTTTAACATTGGTAATTTTTTTCCTGGCTTCTAAAGATATTCTTCATAATCTTCGTGATACCTTTTCGAAGGCATTCGACTATAATGTCTATAAAAAACAAATCCGACTGTTATTTTAAAAGGACTGTTAATTAAGGACAAAACGGTAGCCGTGTCGTATCAACAATTAAAGAGCATGATGAAGATCGCGGAAAGTGGCAAGAGCTCCACCGACAAGAGCGTAGCTCTTAAATTATGAATGAGTTTAAAAAAATAGTGGGTTCAGACAAAAAGCAAAAATTATATGTATCGGTTAAGATTTAAAATATATTATAAAAAAATATATTTCTGCATAAACATAGAAAGTAACTTCCAAAACAGTAGAGAGATTATATTTTTCATTCTATTATCAATAACAAACAATCTCAAAGCCATATCGCTGCGCACATACTTATGAATTTTTTTTTAACCACAATATTTGTCTTTCATTCACACATTCTGTAGATCGTTACGTACTTACGTTATGTCTGTTTTTTTATACTGGAGTTCGCAGTTAACAATATACATATGTTTTGATTTATCTATGTTAATTCATAACTTTAAATGTGACTTGACTATATGTACATGCCTATTGTATATTAATTTGTTATATTAACTAGTTTGATACTGAGACAGCAATTTATCAAATCCGAAATATTTTTATTCATTTATTTATGGACGACCTCGGTGGTCTAGCGGTCTAGCACACCGCTTTACGACCGATGGTCGTGGGTTCGATTCCTTGCACGGCACAAACATTTGTATTCATGAGTATGATTGTTTGTATCGGTCTGGGTGTTTTCTATGTATATTATGTATGTATTTACAAAAAATATATATCTATGTACATATATGTATCGGTTATCTAGTACCCATAACACAAGCTTTAGCTACCTTAACTTAGGTCTAGATGGCACTCTGTGAGTTGTCCTGAGATTATTATTACTATTATAATAATTCAAAATCTACCATGAGTTTCAGCAAGAAAAACTGACAAGAAACTCAACTGCTATTCTTTTCAAATGATTACAGATTACAGATTTATTTTTCATTAGGGAGAATATACTATAGGGGCCAACAGCATATGCTGTTGGATTTTGTCAAAAGAATTTACCTTTTTTTTTATACTACGATGGCGGCAATCAAACATACGGCCCATCTGATGGTAAATGGTTACCGTAGCCTATGAACGCCTGAAACACCAGGGGTATCACGTGCGCGTTGCCGATTCTTAATAAACCCTTCTTGAAAAACCTAAAAAATACTATAAATAATAATAATCTAGAAGAAAGTACACAGTGCCATCAGTCCCAAGCTAGGCAGAACTTGTGCTATGGGTACTAGACAACTAATACAAATACTTAACTATTTATTTTTGTACATACATACATATAGAATGTTTATAGGTATATCTAATCCTTATCCTTATTAACATTATAAATGCGAAAGTAACTCTGTCTGTCTGTCTGTCTCGCCTTCACGTCAAAACTACTGGACCAATTTAAACGAAATTTGGTAAACACGTAGTTTAGACCTTGAGAAAGGACATAGAATACTTTTTAATGCGATAAAAGGGTTGTAAGGGGTTGAAAGAGGAGATGAAGTTAGTACGAAAAATCGTCATTTATGAAACAATTTTTTCTTTAGCTTAGTTGGGTTAGGTTATTGAATCTTTTTTTTATTAATAACAATTTTTTTATAACATATAACATATATAAACAAAATATTTTTATAACTCGCGGATGTAGTCGCGTGGACAGCTAGTAAGTAAGTATATTTCTAAGTAAGGTTACTTATCGAAGTAGGCATAAATCTTACACTGTGTTTATTATAACGTCGGTAGTTGATACCTCTGACTATTCCATTTGGTACTAAAGTCTAATCTTCATTACAATTTTCGTAGAGTAGATTAAAAAGTCATCAAATAATTGTTTGTTTTGCAATTAACGAGTAAAAATAGCATCATAAAGATGATAGCAAAAACTGGTCAAACATGACTGACAAGGTCACACCGGTCACACCCACTATAGCGCGTGGCATTTGTTATTGAGCAGGTTCAAAGTCCGTGTTTCACAAATTGCGACTAAATGGGTCCAAAGTTTATCTGCAGAAGACTGATGACGTAAGAATGATGCAACTTTTGGTGCAGGTGCTTAATCATGGGATGCTGCCTGCGTATATTCCGATAAAAAGTATGTAAATATATTTTTTTTATTCAAATAAACTTATATTTATAAAAATGTTTTTTTTATTGGGTTGTTTGGGCTACTGTCAGATACCTGTAGCACTGCGATCTACATGGATCTATTGTGCTCGCCGTTTTTCAAAGTTCGCTACCTAGACCCGTCAGGGACAAGAATTGAAGGATATTCTTAGGAGCGATGGTTTTTATCTCCTCGGGAAAGAGTGTAAACTTTCCAAAGGAGATATTTCGTTAACGTTACCGAAATATAAAAATGTTACCCTTAAATATCTTAAGGGTAACATTTTTATAAACTTTGAATGTATTATTTATGTAAATTGAATCAACAGCCCAAAAAATGAGTTTCAAGTTTCTAGCTTTAAAAATTACAATACTTCCATACAAACTTTCATATCCCCTTTCAACCCTCTTACAACCCTTTTTCGCATTATTAAGTATGTCCTTTCTCAGGATCTAGACTATCTGTGCACCAAATTTCGTTTAAATCGTAGTAGTTTTGGCGTCAAAGTGAGACAGACAGACAGAGTTACTTTCGTTATAACATTAGTAAGGATATTTGTGTTTGATATCCTTTCCCAATCCTCATATCCTTGTATTAATCAACACATAAGAAAATATTTAATTCATTCGATCAATTCCAAATTCAAATATTCCCGCCAACCGGTGCTAACTGCGTGAGCGTGTGAACCCCGACCGAAAAATTCATCATGGCTGCCGTTAATACCCGAGTTGACATTAATCATATTCTAATTGAGATTCAACAAGAAAATCTGTGTGAATTCACGTCTCCAGTGCATTATAATTGTGAAACTAACTGCTGGTGGCGTGTGGAATCGGAGTCAAGGACGAAGGGTGCACCCAAGGTCTTCAATTTACCATCAAATTGCCATCATCATCCATCATCATCATAACTGATACAAGTACATAGATAATTTTTTTTTCGTAAATACATACATATTATAAATAGAAAACACCTAGACCGATACAAACAATCATACTCATGAATACAAATGTTTGTGCCGTGTGAGGAATCGAACCCGCGACCATCGGACTTAAAGCGGTGTATTAGACCGCTAGACCACCGAGGTCGTCAATTATAAATTAATTAGATTAAAAGATATTAGATAAATATATTAAACTAGCTTTTGCCCGCGGCTTCGCTCGCGTTAAGGAGTATTATTATTAGGTATAGTTTTTGCGTCTTTACAGTACTTTCATAGAAACTTTCAGCACCTATTTTATCCCCTTAGGAGTGGAATTTATCAAAATCCTTTCTTAGGGGATGCTTACGTCAGAGTAGCTTTATGTATTCAAAGTCTCAGCCCGATCGGTTTAAAATTGACAAAGTTTCATACAAACTTTAATCCCCTATTTTATTCCCTTGGGAGTAGAATTAATTAAAATCCTTTCTTAGCGGATGCCTACGTCATAACATCTACCTGCATGCCAAATTTCAGCCCGATCCGTCCAGTGGTTTGGGCTGTGCGTTGATAGATCACTATGTCAGTCACCTTTGAGTTACATATATTTAGATTCACTAAAATAGTACTTCAATACTCAATACCCAGTCTTCGTTATACAACACAGTGTATTTCTTTCACAAATCATTCTAGGGAGCAGGTACTGGCACAAAGGCGGACTGGTGCACTCGGGGTGGTTACGGCAAATTGGAGGAACGATTTCCTTTTACAGTGTACGGTAACAAGGGACTTTGTTCGACCGCTGTTTGTAGAGTTTAGACGAAAATACGGATAAAATTCCGTATCGTACTCATTGCTCTACAATGTTGAAATAGATTTTTTTTAATGTAATGGCAAACAAACATGGCTGCCACGACATTCCGTACGATAACTACGACTGATTTCCTCTTATTATTGTTTAACCAGTTGGTTATGTTTAATAGAAGAATAGAATAGAAAATCATTTATTCAAATAAACTTACATTGAAACACTTTTGAAT